TTCTCTTTCAAAAGCTATCTTTGAGGAAACTGGATTTAATTTTGTGGACGTCATCGTTTTTTCTGGTGCCCACCAGAAGACAAGTCATTAAAATTTAATCACGGCCTGATGGTCAGAGGTGATGAAGACCTGCAGTTCCCATGGATCTATCTGCATCAGAGGGAGCAATAGCTCATTGCTGCTCTAGAAAGTAGGCTCAGAGTATCCAAAATTGGGTTATCAGACCTGAGGTACCAAAGCCATAAAGATAATCTTGGAAGTGTGGTCTTGAAATTTATTCAGTGCATTTTCTGAGACACTTTGTCTGTCCAATTTTGTGTTTGTGTTTGCTTGTACAGCAGTAGGAATATATTTGAATGCAGCTTGTAAGAATTTAGGATTAAACACGCATATTGAAGTCATCCTTAAGACTTAACTTCAGATTTCAATGCCTGTGCAAGAGTCTGCCTTTCAGATCTCATGGGAGAGCTTGAGCATGCCACTTGGGCTAGTATGGCAGCAAGCAGAGTCAGATGCATTCAAGAGCATGTGGGCAGAAGAAGGTAGGGAGGTGAACCCTGCTGTGCACAGCCATTGTTTTGACACTGTATACACAAAGCCATAGATACTTTTGGGATTAGTGCTGTCTAAGGCAATTTTCCTATTACATATCCCAGGACTTGACAGTGTCTGCAGGAAGAATGGTGTCTATGAGCATTAAAGATTCTTTATCTCCTTAAAATATGAGCAGCCTCCGAATTAATGAAGTGAATCAGAAAGAAAAGTATCGCCTGAATTTAAAAGAAAACATAATTTGTATTTAAACTACTAGACTTATCTATCCTTGATTAAGTCTCTCTGACAGTCCCTGTCTTTGCTCTTAGACCTTCAATGTAGATACAGTAGAAATCTATTGCCACGCTGGAACCCTAAAACAAAACTTTGTCCAAACTTGGAGGAAAACAGAAAGATTTTACTTCATTCCCTGAGGATCCCAGAAAATATTACAAATACTATCAATCTTCCACCTCAGTATCCTCACACCTGGTGAGCACTAACCTGCAGTGTTACTTACTGGGTGGATTTTACATTCTTCTCTGAAATGTCTGGCACGGGATGTAAAGTATCAAACCAATGAAAAGTATGATATCTGTGTCTTAATCTGTCTGTAGGGTCACTACTGATCAAGAAAGGAGAATTCCCATACAGTCTGCCCCCATTACTTGCTCTATTCTGCTGGCACCTGGCGTCATGCCAAAAGAGAGTAAATCCTATTCATTTTCTTGCCTGTACAAAGCAGGACAACATTGCCCAAGACTGCAGATGGTGGTTTAATCCATTCTTTGATGCCCTGTGAAAAAAACTTTTGGCCAAAAATTACTTGTCTTTCAGGCTACTAGGAAAACAGGCAGTTCAGTTATCTTAATTAGCATCTATATCCCTCCTTACAACTAGATCCGTGTCTATAAAAAAAGAAAAAAATATCAGTTAACCTTTGTAATTGTAGACAGGAAGAGAATCACTTGCATTTTGTTGCTCCCAGTTTACAATGTAATGTCACTATTCCTTTTTAAATTCATACAGCTTCTATAAATGACCCTGCACTCAGTATAAACCAAAGAAGTTAGTTATTTTTCTCTTACAGGTCTTACAGATCTTACAAACGATCTCAAAGCACTTCAGAAAGAGCAGGTGCCTGATGATTTTTTGTTAGAGAATGATCTTGAGTCTTTTGCAGATACATAAGTATGCACAAAATGTATTTGCATTTGTATATGAATAACTACTTTTCAGCATGTGACCTATATAATTTTGATTCCAATTTCTGTGATTACTACATTTTGCTTCCTCCTTTTTTTTTTTTTTAATAGACCATTCCCCAGATCTTTCTGATGCACTTCTAGTAGAAACGTTTATAGCATTGGAATGCTTTTCCTACTCCTGCTCTAAAGTTCTTACTCAGATTAAATTCCTCAGTGGTGTTGAAAGGAAGGTAAGACAAAGAAAGACTGCAAAATCATGCAGCATTTACTTAATTTTAAAAAAAGAGTCTGTAGAAACACCATAAAGATGTGAAACTAAATGTATCACATTCCATATTTTCTCAACTTGAAATTCTACTATTTTAAATTATTTTTATGGCAGTGTATTTCTTTACAGCTTTCAAAATAATCCATTTCTGTTTTCCAAGAGACAGGCAGTTCAGCTGTTGGGGTTTTTTACAGAAGTCTCTAAATATACCAATTTTCTGATAAGACATGAGAAATGTATTACTGTGCTCATCTTATCTATGAATTAAGTTATTGATATGCCAGAATACTCACTGAATATTAAGAGCAGAAACACAAGCAAACAGTATCTCTACCTGAATAATTTTAAGTTTGAAGTTTACAGGTCATGCTTTATTTCAGGAACACACGGTAATTTGCAAAAGATGCTTGGGATCTTGTTTTTAGCCCACCTCTGTGCTTCTGTTCCAGATAGACCTAACATTAAACTAACCTCTTTGACTCTCAATAATATATGCATAATAACTGCCAAAGAGTTTCCTTAATAGTTTGCTCCTTACAAGCTCTGGCATCTTAATGCTTCCGACTTTACGGAGCAGTGAAAGTTAATTCAGTCTTTGTTTTACCCACTATCCTTGAAGCTTTTGAAAAGCCTACTTTAAATCAGAACTTTGAGTGCAAGAACCTGAGAGCAAATATGTAGTGAATATTATGGATTATTAATATTTAGGAGATGAGTGATCTTCTGAGGACAAAGGTAAATGAGTACAGCCCCTTTTTTTGTATGCCAGTTGCCCATGAACAATCTTGCAGGCTCCTTATGCAGGCTTATTAAGCTCATATACAAAGAAAATCAGCCGCTGAGTTACTTACAAAGACTATTTTAAGATAAGTTGCTATTCATAGTGCATTTCACTCCAATTCAAAGCAAAGATTGGCACTAAACAGTTGCAGAAGAGATATAAAGAATTTTAAGTCACAAGTATTGTGAAGAGCACCAAAAATACTACCATAGGAAAGTAACATCTGATAGCACAATAAAGATTGGTATTGAAACAGATTCTCTCCCTTAACTTTTCTTTTTTTTTCTCCCCACAGCCAAGCAGACAGCTAGGGAGAGAATCTGGATACCATGCCATACAAAAAAGACCACAGTGTAGTTGCAATCATGTTAAAACTTGGTCCTTCCAGCTCTTCATTCAGCAATATAGAAAGCTACAGGGGTAGTCACAGAGTATTTTGGTATTTTTGGTATTTTTTTGGTATTTTACCAAAAAAATTTGGTATTTTTTTAGGGCAGTAGCATTGTAATTGCAATGACTTGCTCTTGAATGAAATTTAAGGTCTGTCCTTATGTCTATTTCCTTAAACAAACATTAGGCTTGACTGCATTCATGCAGAACGGCTGGTCACCAGAATCATAGGGAGTTTTATGGTATGTCATGCTAGATTGGATGACTGGTAGAAAGACGAAAGCAGTGTATGATGAAAATCCTTACATGTTTGGTATGCATAAGCATTCGTGATAGTCTTGTTTCCCAGGGAAAAATGTTGTTGATGCAAAAGCAGAAAGAATATCAAAACGGTTGTGACTAGTGGTGGGAATTAACTTCCGGGTTTTTTTTTTTTTTGTTTGTTTGTTTATTTGTTTTTTCTTATGGGGTGCTTTCACAGTTTTCTTTCCTGCTGTTCACTCTCCTCTGTATAGCAACATTCAGTCTCCTGGTAGTGGTGGTAGTGCCTGCTACAACAGGCCCCAAAACACACTAGGGACCAAGTGGGAGAAACCAGAGGGCCCAGTATGAACTCCTCTGCCTGTGAAAACCTGTCTGAGTTCAGGGAGGGGATGGATGGTCCTGGCAGTCTCTAATTTTAGCACTTTGAAAAACTGTCTTTGGAAATATAGCAAGCCAAATTTGTTCCTTTTTTTTAACAAGTAGTAATTCCAGGTAACTCTTTGTTAATGACTTGCTCTAGATTTGCACCGAAAGAAATAAAGCTTAGGTCTAGTTTTTTTCTTCTGCATAATCCTTCAAGGAGATTTTAGCAAAGTCTTACTTTCTGCACTGTAGATGGTTTTATCAAAGTGTCTTGGCATATCAGTACTCATTTGGGCACTACTTTACCTAAACTGTGCTTTCTTGAGAAGAAATTTGCCTAAGGGGTCGTAAGTGAAGACTGCCTTTCTGATGGGTCACCCTGTTGCCTCTCAGTCTTGAGTTACTGATCAGTTGTACTCCTGTCCATATAGCCACAGGAAATAAAAGTTTCTTAAGGTAAACACGGTAGAAACAATGAATTGCGATGTCTTTTGAACATTTTTAATCCTCTGTGAAGGTGAACTATTGAGATCAAAAGCACCTTCAGAGTTAACAAGCTGTGCTAGATGCATCCACTTACATTTATGCAATACAGATTTGATTGAGTTCAGTAAGTTAAATGGCATTTATCTGAAGACAACAAATTCTCTGCCAACATCATACTATTTTGAGAAGGAACTTTTTTTTTTTTAATCCAGCGTGAAAAACAAATCAATGTTTTGGTATTTTTTTAGGGCAGTAGCATTGTTATTGCAATGACTTGCTCTTGAATGAAATTTAAGGTCTGTCCTTATGTCTATTTCCTTAAAGAAAAAGCACAGGCTAATGATCTATTTTCAGGCCTAGAAAATGTGATCATCTATAATAAAGAAGTTCTGTGTCTGATAATGGATTCAGAAAGTCAGTAAATCTCTCAGCCTGAGTGTGGCATTCAAGCAGGAAAAAAAAAAGTGCTGAAAAGATTAATAGCTAAATTAATAAAAAAATTATTCTTATTTATGCTGGAGATATAGAATTTAGAAATGGTGTTCAAAAATAAATACAGTGGGAAAAATACAGTTTACTTGGTGAGAGAATGCAGCAGTGACTAATTGCTCAGCAGCATGCACATAGGCTCGTGACAAGAGAGGGAGGAGGAATAATTTTTCCCTACTTAAGAATAAGGATAAAGGTTCATAAAGGGAATATTTACCCAGATTGCAGTTCTGGCATCCATCAGAACAAGGTATGCAATCTTCAAAGTCAGGATCTTCCACTTCACCTGTGTTTTGAAAATCACCAATTTTGTGTTAATTCTAGATAATGAAGGCCAACGTTTGGAAGCACTCAGCAAGGCTCCTGGAAATAAATTTTATCCAAATCCAAAAAGGAGAAAGATTCACACCAATTTCTTTTCTCATTTGTTCTTGTGTAACCGCACTCAATTTGAGGACAATACTCCTATTTTACATTAATATAATATTAGAAGAGAATCAGAGCTGGAGTTTAAGGACCTCAGGATCAGATGTGATTGTGTATTTCAAAACAGGTATCAAGACCCTTAACCACATTTCTGTAACAGATTAAATAGAGTATTTGTTAACTCCTACCAAAGGATGCTTACCTTCTCTACAACTATGCTTCTGACATGTGTTTTGAGTAAGGTAGTAGCCTCTGAAACATCTTTTGCAGTGGCTGGAGTTCAGGCACACCTCACAGTGGCCAGAGCAAGCCACGCAGGTGTGCTCTGAATGGTAGTGACCTGGAGGACAGCTCTCTCTGCACTCCCCATGATACAGGAAACGTTCAATCCCTCTTCTATCTGTGCGGCAAACAAATAGGAAAAAACATGTCAGTAATAGAGGACATCTGGGCATAAGAAGCAGCTTTATGAAGCACCGGTGCTTCAACTGATGAGAATTAATACTGTTCACTGACTGCTAGATTTGTACAGTTTTACACCAGATGAGCTAAAATGTATAAAAGTTTCAGGGCCTGAAACATTCCACATTCCTGGTGATTTATGACATACAAAGATGTCATGCTAGTGAATAATTACTGTTTACATCCTAATGTAAATAAGGTGGATCTAATAAAATAAGGGTCAAGAGATTTCAATTACTCAGTTCCTTTGCAGTGAACATACAAGTATTTGTACTGTATTGTACATGCGGATGTAGAATTGCCATTAGGAAAGCAAAGCTGCCCACTTCACCTTTGGAAAGGATCAGTTTGTGTCCATAGTAGATTAAACTGTAATCCTCATCCCAGTCACAGCTAGACTCTGGAATCATTTAGATTTGAATCTGAAGAGCACGCATGCATCTATTTGCTATCAGAGCAATTGCATTCTGTAGTGCATGGGGAACTGCAAGGTCCCCTACTTCAACTGCTTCTGAATGAAACCTGTGAAAACACCTACAACTCCATGTGCCATGTGCTGCAACATGGGGAGTTTTCTAATGGGTTACCCTATGGTATAAATTACATACATTATTGCGTTAAGTATGTTTGATTGCTTTAACTATAGAGCAAGAATTTGCTTACCGTAATTTACTTTTGAAACTGCAGAGAAAGCAGCTGTAATAGGGTATAATTGCTACACCATAGCAGAACTATTCAGACTTTGTTTCTTTTACTTTTCATGTACAAATCTTTAGAACGATCTTTTCCAGCCTCCTCAGGGTGTGGCTCTCATCAGTGTCTTCATTTCTTGATACACAGAAATACAGAAATTTATATTGCTGTCCACCATAGGGAGAGACTTGGGGAACAATTATACAAACTTGTCCCTCACATTGGACCTGAAGTACCATTTGGAAACTTCATCTACTGAGTCACATTCCCAAAGTAAGAAAGTCAATCTCATGATCAGTACGACAAATTAATGCCAGCCATACTACTGTTTTCTTGTTATCTGGACACTTATTACTAAATAAAGCTTGGGCCATTAATGGCTAGGACTGAACTGGAAGTAGCAGCTGAAAGGAAAAAGGCTGTGAATCCATTGTGAGACCTCAGAAAAAGCTCACTGAAAATTCATTTTTGTTATGTGAATTAAAAGTTAAATCTTAAATACTCATTTCCATGGGCTGTTCAGGCTAGTTACACATACTTGTATGTAATAGCCTCAAGTTCTTCACACATCAGGTGTTACAGAGGAGAGAGGGAATAATTTTTATAATGGAGTTTCAAAAGGAGAGGCCTTGCTTTTTGGAACAACCACAAATTATATTACCCTCTCTGTCAACCTAATCTCTATAAAAATATGTCAAAAAGACAAGTTTCTATGTGTGTTAGTGGTAAGCTTCTCTTTGCAGGCCCCATTTGTCCAGCTGTAGGGACACAGCAGTCTGTGGTGGAACCCACCATGCTTGTTTCCTAGCCTTCCCCAGACAGATGTTTTGGAAAGCACCCTGTCTGCCTGCCTGCTTGTGCAAGCAAGCTTGCTCTATTTCAGTGTAGCACATACTGTGTAGAGCCTGAGGGAGGCATGTTCTTTTCCAGAGGCAAGCTATGTAGGTTTTCTGTCCTTTTTTTCCCCTGTTACTCCTTTTCTTTCTGTTAACATAGCTCTTATTCAAAATATACCAAGGGAAATGCATAAAGATGCAAGGACAATGCAGAGTTGTCTTTTCTTATACTTTTTACAAGAAAAGAATAGAATTCCAGCTCCCTTCAGGGTTAAGACAAGATTATGATGCAGATCAATAGCAAAAGCACTACTTCTTTTATTGGCTCTAACAACTGGTCCTGAGAGCAGATGGAGAAGGAAACTTGGAGGCCAAGGAAGGGGAAAAAGCTGCAAGAGGAGATCTTTCTTACCTGTTCCACAAGCGGTGCATTTGTTAGGTTCACTTCCACTGCAGTCCAGGCAGGTATGATGGCACAAATGACATTGTCCTTTGAATTCAAACTTTCCTCTGGGGCATTGCATAACACAGCAACCATCGTCAAAGACTCTTTAGAGGCAGAGAGAGGCATAATTACAAATTCAGCAACTACTTGTTCTTTAAATTTAAAGGAAACTAAGAAGAAACACAAGATATTCTTCGTTCACTCTATTTACAAGAGTCTTGGTACATTACTCTTTCATTTTCCTGACCTTATTTATAGTATTAACTAAGTGGAAAGTCAACCATGTTTTGAACCTGGATCTTAGACTTCAGAGATTAGTTTTTTCTGAGAATTTTCTGAGAAAAATCACCTTTTTGTCCTGTACCTAGATGTCCTTCTACCACAATCCCTGCAGTGGTCACTTATGTCTGTTAGAAGCAAAACAAGGCTTGGTCTTTCTCTGTGAAGGAATGATCCATCTGTTGAAGTTTCCTATTAGTATTACTTTAAAGGCTTCCTGTGAACAGAACTGCAATGACTGTGTACATAAAGTCAAACATCTATCTGAATCTTGGCCTTTAGGAACTGTAGTTTTAGACTTGCATGTCTGCAAACACTTAGGAGTTTTGCTGCTAAATGTTCTCCTTTTGCTGGGTAATGAAATATTTGCTACAGAATCCTTTTATGTGATGAAAATTTCTGGTTCATTTTTCACCACTACTTAATGTCTGCTGGTTTTAATCTGTTTGGGAGAAAAGTAGAAAAGCATTGATACAGATATGACTATTAAAAGAATATAAAACAAGTTGGCTAGAATTTGACAGCATTTTCAATGTTAAGAGAGACTACAATCTTCCACACTTAACTGCTTTGACCAGTTTGGTATCTGAGGACTTTCTAGAGAAGCTGAGCACCTTTCAGGATCTTAGTACAGATTCTGAGACTATCAGCTTGTCCGTACACCTAGGGAACAGTAGGCTTTCCATACCATTAAAATAGTGCATGCTTCCTTGGAGCCAGCCAATGGCATTAGAGAATGTCTGCAATATGCCTTCATAAATTTGAGTTGCTATGGTTATTGTCAGATCTATTCTGAAAGAAAAGGAGAAAAATATCTGCAAAGTTTAAAACCAATTTTGTCAAATAGTCTTTGAAACCATTTAAAATTTACTGTGATTGGAAGGCTATGCTTATGAAGTGTGAAGATAGAATAGGCTATCTTACAAAGAGCCTTCCTGAAGCGCACATAACAAAGAAAACTTAGGAATTGATTAAAAGGCTTGTGAGGCTGAAGGCACGCTGCTGGAGGGAATTGGGAAGAAGATTGTATGGCTATATGAAGTATTCAGCAAAGATGTATCTCTGCTCTGGAGTCTGACAGTAAGATAGTACTGTGCAGACTGTAGTTCATATAACTATACTTGCATGTTTAAGACCATTATTCAGCTCTTCAAGAGGACTGCAGCCGTCTCTGGTTGGTTTCTGTGCAAAAGGGACAATGTGACAGAAGTACTGGAGGTAGCTGGGCTATGCTTATATGACATGCAAGTATTACTGTATTCTACTGCATGCACTGGCTGTAATGATAGCCATCCTTACAAACAGCTCACACAGTGGTAAAGTACATTTTTCTTGCATTTTGTTATGTTGCCCCTAATGAAAGACACCAGCAGGTCAGGTCTTGTGACTAACCTTTGTAGCTCAAACAACAAACAGATGAATGAGGAACTTTGTGAAAATCAGTTTGGCTGGACAAAAACCCTACAATTCCATAATTTTTTAGAAAGAGGTAACAGCATTTTGAATCATCAAATAAGAAGATGATCTGACAGTGATTTTATTATGAAATAAGGTGACATCTACTGCTGAATTTTCACAAAGAACGGGGATTATTCAGTGTTTTCATTTTCACATTATTTTCAGTAATTGTGCCCCCCCCCCTCCCCCCCCCCGCAATCTTTTAATCCTTTTCAAAGGTGTTCTTTTGTAGGAAAGAAGCACTGCTGAATTTTAGTCTGTATTATCTAATGACCACTCATTACTGTCTTCAATAGACACAATCTGAAGCTCTCAAGAGCAACAGGATTTAGGATTCTGTTTCAATTAAACAGGTCAATTTCAAGTACATAATGAATAATGTCCATTGATTTTCACTTCATCCTCTGGGTGAGATTTTTCTTTATTATTACTTCTTTTACTACTGACTGTCCTAATATGACTTTTTCTAACAGCTTTCCTAATGTGCGGGAGAAGCACAGAAAGCTTTTAGAAACCTTAGATACCAACACTGAAAACTGTTAGAAGATTTGTTACGGGGAAGACAGCAGCACCTTTCCAAAAGGTCACAAAGACCTCATTCCTGTAAACACCTAGGTGGTTTTGCCTAATGGCATTGTTCTCTACCTTCTTTGTTTTGCAGATATCTCTGTGTAAAGCTCACAAAATAGGTTACAAGGAAACACAGACAACCTAATTTTAATGTGATTGTGAATCAGAGAAATCCAGTCTGCAGCCCAAAATTCTGCCCAGACTTCCTGTGCTAATGCCATTTCTTACGTAACACATCTTAATTCAATACTGTTTCCTCAGTTATGAATTTGTTTGGACGTTACTGGTCCTGGTGTGTCTTATATTGGCATAGTCATATCATAGATATTTGCAGGGTAAATTGCAGGATTGCTTGGGGATTTTTTTTCTATGCCTTACAGGACCTGATTCTGATTTCATACCACTGTAAATATCAGCTGGCTACAATGCAGTCCAGTGCAACAGAACCAGGGCTATCAGTGTGAGAACAAAGCTATTGGTAGGACATGAGTTTAAAACAAGTAGACGCCTGGACTAGGTGTGAGATGACCTAAACATGAGCCTCTGATCTGCAATGTCCTGTGGAAAAGCTTTGTTCTAGTTCTATTCACTCCTCATGGCAGGTTAGAAAAATCAGCCTAACTTAAAATGCTTCAGTTAGGGGATGGATGATTTTTAGGTGGTATGAAAATCTCCCAAATTAGCTGATTGCTAGCCTCAGTGTCCATATTCATGTCTTGTGCCAAACTCCATAGCTATGTACAACTACAGACCCCCTAGATGCTTGTTAAATTTGTCACTGTTGTGATTCTATCAATTGTGATTTTGAAAGGATGACAGTGAAAGAAAGACTGTTTCATGTATTACAAGAAATTTTTCTGTATCTGTGGGAATCATCTGGCTAAACATCAACTGCCTGTGTAGCCAGCTGTCTTGTTCACATAACACTTGTTTTCTCCCTTGCTCTGGTTTTCTTTGCCCTAATCATTGCTTGCTTCTTCAGTTGAGTCTGCAAGCTAGTGCTAAAGACCATATAGCCACTTTTCCAGATGATGATGGAGGCCTTTGTGCTGCACTGTGCTAGGAGACAATTACCTTGTGAGTGGGCAGCTGATGCAGTTGTCCGGCTCAGGTCCAATGCACTTCTGACAGGATGCTTCACACAACTGACATTCTTGGGAATCATCAAGATATTGCCCTGGTAGAAAAAGATTTGTTTATTTCAGATCAACAACTCGCATTAAAAAAAACCCATGCGCTAAGCCAGGTTGGAAAATGTAATGAGTAAAAGGAATTAGATCTGTTTTGAATTACTGAAATGAGCACATTTCCCTGTGGTATCAAGAAAACTAGTACTGGCTCCCTTCGGGAACCAGGATACTCATAATTAGTAGCTTCTAGTAATTTATTTATTTATTTATTTATTCCATGTGAATCTGACAGAGAGTGATTCTTCTTGTTTGGGTTATTGCTATTTCTTTTGCATCAGCTGAAGTAATGGGACTGTTTAAGATTCACTATGGAGAGTTACATCAAAACCAGTGCTACCTGGGGGTATTCCTAATGTCCTTTGGTGTAGCTGCAACGTGCTCCTGATTGCAAGCTGCAGCATAAAGAATGTGCTCTCATGGGTGTGGGGTATGCTATGTGAGGAGAAGGACTTGAATAAGTTTCCCTTAGTCAGAGACATGTTAGTGCTCCCCAAACCTCTAGCTATAACATCTTTTGTACCCCTCCCAAGCTGCGGCTGGAAGACTCCACACGTGAAAGACCTGGGCTCTCATTTAGGCTGAATGAAAATTTGGTGCCCAAATGCCCATTGGGACTCGAAAAAATAATTTTGTATTGTAAGAATTGTCGCCTTAAAACTGAGATAAAGATATGAACACCTCTAGATCATGAATGCACTAGTACTACTATGGTGCTGAAGTGCAAAGTTTGCCTCTTTATTTACTGAATATTAATTAAAATATTGGTACAAACCGGTAAGCTGTATGCTTCATAACTCTCAGAGCAGGGATATTAATTTGGTAAGTAGCATGAATACTGTATCTGTGTGCAGCATCGTGTGGGGACAGTAAATCAGTTTATCAAGCAGTTTTATAAAGCTCAAGACTGGGTCTTTTATGTCAGTTTGTTATGGGAAAATGTATTCTAACAGTCTATATATTTGAGAGAATTGGCTGTTCCTTCATTCTTAAGTAATGGAAGGGGTTGGGCAGAGAGTCCTATATAATACATAAACGCTGCAGTTCCTATGGATACTTCAATATGGAGAAACTCTTTCCACTTGCATTGCTGCTAGGAAATCCAGATTTGGCAAATGCAGTGAACTTTAGGAGTCAAAATACAAATGTGGAATGACTTGGTTTTGGCTCTCAGTTGCAATGAGTTCCTTACATTGAAGAGCAAAAGCACTGTACAAGCAAGTATTGCTATAAGTGTAAAACGATGTAGGAAAGAAAGAAACATTTTCTAAAATACTGCAAATTACGCTCTCTGTCCCTTGTATTTGCTACTCCATATTAATCTCTATTAACAAATTTTATAATAGTTGAAATCTCTGGTATGAGATATAATCTAGGATAGCACTTATCAATCTTAAGGAGATGGGAACAGTATAGTGATAAAGGCGTACCAATTGGAACATCCAGCCAACTGTAGGCCAAAGCTGAGGTACCCAAAATGTAGGTAAAGATACAATTTTCATTTTGTACAGGTTTGTGTGTCTCCTGAAGAAAGGAAAAAAGTAAAAGACGAGCAAAAAGCCAGCGACAGAGCCATATAAAGCACAAAGACAGAGGGTGGTCTGGGATCAGTGCTAACTAGAAAGAAGTTCAGAACTGCGAGCAAATGAAGAGTCTCTTGATGAGATCAGGGAACCAGAAATCTGTATGCGTACACATTCACACATTTTTATAGTTCTTATTATCCAAAGACCATTTTGTGCATATATATATATTTACATGCATTTATGTAATCTCACACGTGTCCATATAGGCCAAACCTTGAATCATGTAAATTGGCATAATTCCATGGAAGTGATGCAGCTTTTCTGGACTGCAACACTGTGTCTTGTATGATAGATTACTTTATAAAGGACTAATGATAAAAATATTATCAACTGTATAACTGTTTGACATA